TCCAGAAGCATTGAAAGATCGCTTTTCGAACAAGCAATCTTTCCCAAGACCTCTGATCATTGGTAAAGAGAGACAACGCTCGTAGCCGCGGAATCAGCCTTTTCGTTGAGATAGGCTTCTCCGGCAGCTGAATGAGTCCTTGTGTCGGCCCAGAGCTCGCTCCTCCTTACTGAAGAAGCGGGATCGAGTGCTCACTGAGGATGAGCTCTTGAAGGAAGGAGACCTTGGCGATCGGACAGGAAGTTCACGGCACGAGAAGCTCCTTGGGAGCTGTTGGAATTCAGGGGAAAAAAGCGATAGTCTAGAGCGATTTTACGATCTAGTCGTCTTCTCTGTCTACTGGTTTTAATGTTTCCCTTACCCTGGTTATTTCGGAACCAGTGACATGTCCCATGATAGGAATAAAGTGGGAATTAATTGGACTGCACCTAACAATTCCTTGGGCTCTTTTGAACTGCGCAGCGCAACTAAGAGTTGTTCGGTTTGTCAAGTGTTTTTAGAGATGTCATAGTGATGTCCCTCTCATAGATTGTTAAAGGCAGTTGGCACGATAAATATCCAAAGACGAGTAGGATTAATACGCCTGGCAGGACGGAATTCCGCGCCCCTGAGAAGGCGCTGCGCAGCGCCTTTCCAAGGAAGGTACCCTTATAAGGGCCCTATCAAGCTACAACATACCGACCCGCCCGCCCACAAATGGACGACCGTTCCTGACGCTCGTATTGCTTCATTTGCTAAGTAAAATATGAAGCGAAGGGATTGATATGAAGCGGCTGCGGTGCTGCATGGATATATGAGTGCATACGTGCAGCCGTACTACCGTAGCGGTTATTGGCAAGATGCCTACGGGAAACTCGTCCGAAATTGATTTACAAGTCACTGAGAACGGAGGCTTTTCTTCGCAGGATTTTGACCGTTTCACTCCGTTCTTTCGCCATTTCCCCACTATATAGCGCCCTACTAGCATTTTAGCCGAGTACCAAATATCGTGCCAACTGCCTTTGAGGCAATGATTATCAGGGTTTGTAGGAGGACCGTAGTGGTGTAGCTTCAAGTGACCCGCCTATCGTAGACAGGTTGCGGGAGGCAAATTTCGAATCGCCTCCCACAAGACGCTCAAGCCCTCTATCCTCCGTGGAAGATAATTGTACCAGATCCTTTTTGGAGAATGAAAATGTGCATAAAGTGACTGACTTCTGCAAGCCATTGTGCAAGCTACATTGCATTCAGTAGTCCACTTTGGTTCTGGATGGAAGTTGAACTCGTGCCGTATCCAAAAAAAAAACGGATGGATCAGCGGCGAAGCTTCATCCTTCGTTTATACTTTGCGGCAGCGTAGCGTGCGCTTCTTAGCGTCACCAGCGTTTCACTTTTTCGCTAGCGTTTGCCAGCGGCGGGCTAGAGAGTATAGAAGAGTAGGAGAGTACAAAATACTCGGCGGCGCTAGAGAGTATAGAAGAGTAGGAGAGTACAAAATACTCGGCGGCGCTAGAGAGTATAGAAGAGTAGGAGAGTACAGAATACTCTCCTACTATCCCATAGTCTCTACTCCCTGCCGCTGCAAGCGCTAGCGAAACGCTAGTGAAACGCTGGGAGCGCTAGATCGATATCTATCCTTTCCCCGACACTGCCGCTGGCGTACGCTGGAAGCGCTAATGCTACGCTGCCGCAAAGTATAAACGCAGCCTTATCCTTCATCTGTTAAGGGCATATCGGACGAGACGAATACGCTACTGGATCAACGAAATGTGACATTTCCAAATTTGCGATCTCTTAAAATGACATCCATGGAATTGCTGAGTAGACCACCACCACGGAGGTATGGATTATCATGCTTTTATTAACCTTTTTTATATCACTTTCTTTTTTGCGTTGAAATTCTATTATTTTTAAACATTGTAGGAAAATCGGCGTAGCCAGTATGGATACTCGTAATATACCAGTGTTAGGCGAAGAAGATTTGGAAGGAGCTGGTGGTCTCGATCAAATGCGAGAGAATCGAGGAGGCCCGTCACATCTGATGCATTCGAATCAGCAACCAGTTTTTGAGGGGTAAGTGTGAAACATATTTCTTAAAAAAAGACTCAGAAAATTTCCTTTCAAAGCAAATACGACCATTCTTTCCCGATGACGAATAAACGATCTGTACGATCCCTCCCCGTACACCCTTCCTTTCTTGGGATTCTCCTAGCGATGTAAACGCGCGGTGAAACACGAGAAATCAACTGACAGGGGTTTTTTTGACCACATAGGGCGACCCCCTCCACCGCCCGAATATGACCCTATTCTCCAACCTGGGACTTGCCCTGCTTTCTATCCGCCTCCCTTTGCATTATTTCTCTTTTATTTCTTTCCTGCTGTCACCCCTTTATTTAATGGCCTATGAGCTTTCTACCGTGTTTGTTCATTTGCCATTATTTGTTGTGCCAAAATCAAATATTTTTCTTCCGGTTTCAGGTGTTCTTCGTCCTTCAACGGGGGTATTGGTATTGCCTCTATAAATGAACCCGCAGAAGAGAAGATTGTTTTAGAAGAAGAACGTGAACCACCGGTGTTCACCTCGAGATGTCCCAATGTTACAACGCTAACCCTACCGAAGGTAAGATTGATCTTCTCTATTGATTTTTTCCTTTGTGCAACTATCCGTTTAAGGTACGAAGGTTCCCCGAGGATGAAGAAAATTCTCCGAATGATCTGCTGCGTCGCGTTTTTGAACCGTTGAAAGATTTGAGGGTTCTTGATTTGTCATACTGGAATCGGGTTTGTTTATATTTCTTTCTAAAATATTGATTTTGATTGATTGCTAGTTGTTTCTAGATGGAAGACCTTCGCTGTGTGCACCCTCTTCATTTGACTACATTGATATTGTTCGATGTACCGGATTTGTACCGCACCATTGACAGTATCATTACCCTGACAGAGCTTAGGTACGTTTAGAAGACGCGGATTTTTCTTAGTGGCCTCAGTGGCTAGAAATCATTCTAGTTTGAGTTGTTACTGAGGTGAATCCTATTAAAAGCATCCTATTCAGATTCCTTGACCTTTCGCAATCATCACGGGACACGGGTCTCTATCCGAGGCCAGTGACCGCACTGCACAAGCTGGTCACAAATTTGAAACAACTAACCTGTCTGGATATCTCCTCTACGAATTTGGCTGCACAGCCGAGTCCAAAAGATTGGCCAGTGAAGCCTGATATGCAGTAAGTAGTTAGAGCGTTCAGTGTTGTTGAAATTTTGTCATTCTGCGATGGTCGAATGGGCGGAGACTTAAAGTCATTGTGCCCACAAGTGCGCCTCTTTTTACTCGGTTATAGCGAGTGGCGCTTCAGTGAGGGAACAATGGTTATGAGTCTCCTCCCATTCACTTCTCACGATGTCTTCAAGGAGTCTTCAACAATAGAGTAAGTATAAGTGTAACCCGAATTTGAAGGGCCCCCTATGCTTTTCTCATTGCTGCGCGCTTTTTTTTCATCTTAAAAGGACGGATCCATCAGTCAGAAGGGTGAAATCGTTCAGGTTACTCCACTCGTACGATCCCATGGTACGTGCGGCTCCCAGTTTTTCCGGTGAGAGATCTCCGTACGTTGGAGATCCCCACCGAGGGGAGCCACAGTTGGTTGCTGAAGGGAGAGGGGGGGGCATTTCTTTCTAGGGGAAAGGGTTTGATGCTGACTTTCTTGGGTTCTTTCCCGTTTCACGTGCGCTGTATACCCTGACTACCTCCCCCCCCCCCCCGTCGAGCATATTTTTTTGTAGAAAAATGAGATTTCCCAAAGCTCGGAAAAGGTGATGGGAAGTTGGGAAAATTTAGGAAGGTAGTAGGTAGGACGGGGAAGGGGGAGGGTCGTACTAGAGGTGAAATGTTTGAGCGACGGTTGTATTTTGTAAAATTTTTCCTCAACGGAAGAACGTGCTCTGTTCCCAATTTCCAGTCAAAACATTGTTGTCGTGTAGGGATTGCTCTTCCCGATTCCGCAGCTTTGTTTGCTTTGTGGCCTATTCGTGTAAATGAAAAACTGGTGTTAAATCACAGTGAAACCGCATCCTTCAATATTTAACGCTTTTTTGTGTCTCGCTTTCCTAGTGATGAAATTTTTTTTATTTTCAGCCAAGGAAATGTACGCTCGGACATTGTTGGGTTGCGATTCCTTAGTAAACCACTTGACTTTATTGGATTGTTCAATTGTGAAAATGCTAGTCATTTCGGTGAGATTCCGGCAAAACACATTTCTGGTGATGCTAACGAAGACCAGGTAAATTTGTATCTTTTTTGCCTTACTCCCCACATGGGCTGTAACTATTTTCCGTTGTTTTTTTTTCGTTGCTCAGCATTGTTTTTAAGGTCATTATGGCTTTACAAATGTACAAGGATCGTGCTGGCTTGCTACAGTCTGTTTTGAATGAGAGCTATCAGCTGTACCGCTTTGGAAATAGTAATCCTCTAGTAAGTAGTAAGGAATATACCGGTTTTTCTTTTCGAACTCTCAATTTTTCTTCTGAACGAATGGGTTCAATTTCTCAGGTTCGCCATACGGAAGCACTTCATTTGGTGTTGAACGCTATGCAGAATCATCTTGAGGATAGCACTCTACAAATAGCCGGATCAGCCAGTCTGTTCTACATCATCCGTAAGGTGGCAATGAATAGGGACACGAAGAAACGGGTAGTCAGCGCTTTGCTTAGTGGTACGTTTTACTCCATAGGGTTTTACATGGTTTTTTTTGTATGACCCTGCTACAGAATTACCCGATGTTCTAGGGTATATGAGCATTGTGGCGCATTTTAAGGTCGCAGAGACGCACGCGACAACGCGCGCGAAATGTTCTTACAAGGGCATGGTTTCAACTTCCCATGGAACTTTGAATGGAGACCTAGGTACATCGATAGAGTCTCGAATGCTGATTAAAAGTGCTACGGGGACCTCCCTAACGAGATCTGGGCCGTCAAAGTTTGTGAAAACTCAGTCTTGGCTCGTAAGCGCTGCTGATCGATCGCTAGGCAGTGCCGTCGTGGCCTAGTGATACGCTCTCGCTTACAAAGGCAAATGTGCTTTGTAGGTTGTCATCCGCGTCGCGCAAAGGTTTGCTTCGTTTCCTATGAACAGGCTTTTACTCTAATCTTCGATAATTTCTTTCGGATTTACAGACCACAGCAGAGTGCAAGTATATATCCAAATACATTGACGTAACTCGATCGAGTAATAGAGATGGTCCACTAATTCTGCCCTCTCTGAACTTATTAAACAGATCATATACTCATTACAGTACGACAATGCGAAGTTTTGCCAGAATCAAAATTTTCACGCGAAAACTCGTTTCTGAGGGTATTTTTTTGACCCCCTGAGCAGCCAATATCGATCAATCCCGTGACGCGCCGAAATTGAATCGTTCCGTCGTTTCAGTGATGAACACAACAAAAGTGAAAAGCTCGCAGCGTTTATTCGTCTCAAGCGATAATCATGTTCAGGGGTCAAAATAACCCCAGGAACCAGTTTCTGGCCAAAACTTCGAATTGTCGGATGGGTAATGAGTTCAGAGAGGGCAGATAGTGATCAATCCATACTCGATCGAGTACGTCATATACTTGATCTACTTGCATCTACTCTGACCGCCTGCGCTCGAACTCACGGAAGAATTTCGAAATTAGAGTAAAACTCCTTATAGGGCACGAAAGCAAAACATTCGCGGCCCTCACGGGATGGCAAACTCACAAGCATTGCTTTTGAAGCGAGACCGTTACCACCAGGCCATGGTGACACTACCTAACGCTCAATCAGCAGCGCTTACGAGCCAAAACTGAGTTTTCACAAACTTTGACCACCCACATCCATGGGAAGTTGAAGCCATTCCCTTGTTAGAGACACACCAACAGCTTTTTCGTCTTTTCTTGCGTTATCTGGTCTTTTGGTTATTGTTAAACATCCTCTTATTGAGTGCGATTATTTATATAGGTAGTAATTTTGATTTAAAATGCGCGAAAAGAAAGCCTGAAAAAAACTGCGTCATTGAACGCGATGGTGCGTCCTATACATGGGTGCGCCTTATTTTTCAAAAAATAGGGTAGTTATTTGTCGAACTTTTATGATTGAAATCCTGTCGCCACCTGCTTCTTATCATCTTGAATCTTGAGGTTTATTACAGGAATGGAAACACATATGGAAGAACAAGTGATGGTCAGGAACTGCTGTTTGTCGCTTTGTCAGTTTGAGATACCGCAGGAGATTCTCTTCGATTACAGGTTTGTCAGTTGCCTACGCAGATATGGAAGCGTCATGTAGTTTCTAAGTTACCGCTCATGCGTTCGCCTACGCTAAGTACAGTGTATTTGATTTTGCAGTGCGGAAAACCATCCGACAATCGCAATTGTCTATGAACTGTCAAGCTTGAGTTGTGTTTTTATATGTGTTGGTGTTAAAAAAGTGGGAGGTGGTCAAAGTGTATTGTATGGCTAAGGTTATTCCTCTTTATATCGCCCATCTCTCTCAGCTTTCCTTTCTTTTTGATAAACTGGTAAGCAAAAGCATCGTGTTTAGTAGTTCTTGGCCCTGTTACTTCTGTGGAATCATTATCTTCGAGCTTAGAAGTTAACGCTGACAATTTCAATTTTTCACTGCATGGTCTTTGTTGGCGAAACCCTTTTGCAGCGCACAGGACTAAAGAGCAGCGGTTGCCGGAGATCGAAAGGGTGGATAGAAAGGAAAAGACCATCGTATTAGCAGCGCGTATTGGGGTGGGTTCGAGCGACGCTGCGCCCTAAGACGAGTGGGTCTTGTACGCCATGTGAAATTTAGTGCGTGGAAGGCCGAACAAGAAAGATTAATCTCGTCCGTCATGTAGTCTTTCTTTCAAATTCCTATTAGATCTACTGTTCCGATCGATAAAATGGTGCATCGGCTGTTATGCGCGCGCCGAGCCGAAGCGATGAGAACGATTGTCTTGTCCATGTGACGAGCTAGAGGAGAAGCTTACTTAGCGTGTGGGGGGCAGTGTGGGTAAGTCCTTATCATCCGCGAAAGACAGGGGGCCTGTTTCACTAAAACAGAAAGAGAAACATTCATCGATTTTTTCACTCTTCAAAGGCTAACTCACGTTTGATTGTTGAGCAAGTTTTTCCGTCGACGATCATCGAAACATCAAGATATGATTACTGCAATTTCAACGTAGTCACCGTTTACTCGTAATTTCTGTTGTTGTTAGTCACGGTTTGAGTAATTACTATTTGGCTGCTGTGTCTGCATCGCGGAAGGCTGCATAATTACTGGCTTTCGAAATTGGTGTGTTTGAGTAACTGGCGCAATGAATAGATAATGAAACAGTTCAGAGAACTAGTTTCAAACAGAAAACGCAAAAAATAGAGATGGCAGTGGAAGGAGGGAGTCGGAAGGGGGGGGGGAGAGCGGGGTAGAGAATCCCGAACGAAGCGATGAGCAATGAACGTGTACGGTTCTACTTTATGTTGCCGCGGATTTTTCAAAGCTTCCCGAGGTGGAAGTTTTGCCTTTGCAATGTGCAGTAAGATGCGAGTCACACAAAACTGGCCAGTTCTACCCTAGTTATCGGTAACTTGATAATTTCAATTTCAGTAGATTAGCCATCCTGTTGGTGACTGTCCTACAGCACCATAATGCTGATAATCTGACGCAACGAATCGTGGTATTTTTGCTGAATTCGATGGCATGTCATGTAGAAGGCGATCAGAAGGTTCAAGTCGGCAGTTTCGGTGCTATCGAGGTGAGCTCACGATTCGGTTCGAGTCGAGATTATGGTGATGTTGCGCTCGATACAAAGAACCCAGTCCGTGCTGATTGTTTGGGCAGAGATAGAGAGCAACTAAGTCTTGCCTATGAGCGTGATTGCTTTCTTTCACGCATAGAGGAGGGGACGCATAAACGTGGAAGACTTACTGGCTCTCTGAAATCGGCCATAGCATCAGCTAGGGCTGCGTATTTCCAGCTTCTTGGATGTTCAGCGTCCGATTTTCGTGTTCGGAAATTTCCCCGCATATGTATTACAGTTTTATTCGCTACGGATGCTGGGGCGTGTCCGGCAGACTGACTCTGGCTCTGTGCCAGCCCGCTTTCTACAGATTGTAAAAGCTGGTAAGCGACCACAATTGGTGGGCTGGGCCAAAGCCAGA